CCCCCCCCCTCCATCTTTGCCTTCTTCCTTTCGTCGACCCTGGGACCCCAATCCTCGGCCTTGCTGGTCAAGGTCCCCTACAGAGGGGGGGTGCCCTGGTGGTGCATGGGGTTAAAGCACAACACTATGAGGCTACCCACAGCCAATGAAGCACCAGTTCCATCCCCAGCCAGGGAGCTGACCCACATGGCGCAGCAGACCTCTCCTGGCCCATCCACTGCCCCCCTCAGCAGTATTCTTCAGTCAATCTGCCTGTTCTGCCCCTCAGTCTCTGCTGAATCTTGTCCTCCCTCCCCACCAGGTGCTTCCCCATATCTCGACCAGGTTCCATATGTATAAATAAATAATTTATACAGGTCCTATACACCAGGCCCTATATGTATAAATAAATAATTCTTTTAAAGACTACAGATCAAGTGAACACAGTAATGAGTCAAAAAATAAACCCACACATAAATAAATAACTAATTTATAACAAAGAAGCCAAGAGCATACAATGGAATAAGGATGGTGTTGGGAAAACTGGACAGCCACATGCAAAAGAATGAAATTACACCACCATCAAATACCATACACAAAAGTTAATTCAAAGTAGAGTGAAGATTTGATGTTAAGACCTAAAACCATAAAATACATAAAAAAAAACCATGCAACATCCTCCTTAACACCAACCTTAAAAATGTCTTTTAGGGACTAGACACCAACAGTAAGGGAAACAAAAGTATAAATAAGCATAAAGGACTATTCAAGTTAAAATGTTTCTACACAACAAAAGAAATTTGCATCAAAATGAAAAGACATGCTACTAAATGGGAAATGTTGGCACAGCAGATAGTCAACATGAGGTTAATGTACTCACCAGCTGCCCCCATCAACTGGTAACATTAAACTTACTCTATTCATAGACAAAATATGATACTGTATAAGAAATATACATATCCCATTTTGTTATTGTTTTCTAACTTTTTAATTGAGGTAATAGTGGCTACAACACTGGCCATAACTGGACATTATTTTTAAGTTTGGAGTAATTTGAAAGTACAGTGATACTGTTTATAAATATAATTGTAGGCTGCAAAGAACTGAAAACCCAACTCAAGGTAGCTAGAATTGGGTGAGGATGGGGCTATCAGTTAATATAAAAAGAGATCCAAAAGGAGGATAGGCTCCAGAACTAGTTATTTCAGTTCCACAAGGTTATCATGAAATCAGTTTCTTTTTATGCTCCCATTTTGCCATTTTGGAGGTATCAATTTTGGGCAGTTCACTTTTCAATCATGTATGTGTATTTTATCCTAAACCACAAGTAATGCAATATTTTAATAAGCACTTTTTTTTTTAAGAAATGGAAACTGATCTCACAATCAGTTGCCACTTTTTTTAAAAAAGATTTATTTGGCCCTCCCTTGTGGCGCAGCGTGTTAAAGCACAGCACTGAGAATCTGAAGCCACTTCCGCATGAGTTCGATTCCCGCCTGCCGCCTGCCCGGGAGGAGACCACATGGCGAGCCAGACCTCTCCTGACCCGCCCGCTGCTCCCCTCAGCAGTGTACTTCGTCGATCTGCCTGTTCTGCTCCCCACTCTGTCTCTGGTGAAGCCTCTCACCGCCCCTGAGCCTCTGGCCTGTACCCCTGGGGTACAGGCCACAGGTGTAGGGGTGATGAGAGAATTCACCAGAGACAGAGTAGGGAGCAGAGCAGGCAGAGCACTGCTGAGGGGAGCAGCAGGTGAGACAGGAGAGTTCAGTTGTACCACATGCTTCGTTTTAACCTGTTGCGCCAACAGGGAAGGCCCTAGTAAGTATTTTTTCAGTAGTCACTATACAGCAATTACGTCTTAAACTGTGAAAAACAAAAGGGTAAAAAACAAAATTAGGGCCCTCCCTGGTGGTGCAGCAGGTTTAAAACACAGCCCTAAGAAGCTAATGCCACTTCAGCATTAGTTCCATCCCCGCCCTGGAGGTGACCAACATGGCTCAGCAGACCTCTCCTGACCCAACTGCTGTTCCCCTCAGCAGTGTATTTCATCAGTCTATTCTGCTCCCCACTGTCTCTGGTGAATTTTCTCACCACCCCTGCACCTCTGGCCTGTACTCCATCTCTGTATACATAATAAATAAATCTTTAAAAAAAAAGAAAAACAAAACTAAATGTCAGGTAGTGAAATCTCTGATAAGGAAGAATAAGGTAGAATAGGGTAGAATAAGAGGAGATAAAATCAATTTAGGTGGGGGGGGGTCAGAAAAGAAATTCTTCTATATTTGAAGAGATAGCAAAAGACATACAAAATGAACAAAATAATCAGTAACCTAGAGTAACACTGCAGGTAAAAGAAATAGTACAAAAACCTGAAGACAGTATTCTTGCACAGCATTAGAAAAAGCAAGAATAGAGCTGAATGAACAGGTAGAATGATAAGGGGTGGGGAACTAGCTACTCAAGTGGGACCTCACAAACCTGTAGAAGGACCAGATTTTATTGTGGGATGGGAAATAACTAGACAGTTCGAAGCAAAAGTGTTATAATCTGATATGCATATCTAATATACATTTATGAAATTAATGGTAATAAATCAGGTGCAAAATAATGGAAGAGAAGACCTGGGTAATATTGGGTGGTAAAAGCAGAAAAGGCATTAAGAAATCAACTTTATTTTTGAATCAAGATAGAGCTAAAAGAACTTGCTGATGGACTGGATATGAGAAAGACAGGAGGGAAGAATGACACCAGGGTTTTAGGCTTCAAATGAATAGTACTAATTTCTTATTACTGAAAAGATGAAAAACTATTAAGAGACTAAGATACATGAAATATAAAATTCTACTTTGGGGCCTTGGTGGTGCAGGGATTAAAGTTGTCAGCACTATTAAGCTATCATCAGCCACTGGAACATGAGTTTGATCCCTGGGGAAAAAAATTGTCTCAGCCCTATCAAGCTATCAGCAGCCACTGCAGCATGAATTTGATACCTGGCCAGGGAGCTGACCCACATGGTGCAGCAGATCTCTCCTGTCTCACTGGCTACTCCCCTCAACAGTGTACTTCGGTAAATATGCCTGTTCTGCTCCACCACCCCCGTATCTGGTGAATCCTCCCACCCTTCTGTACCTCTGACATACACCCCAGTTCTTGTGTGCATAAATAAATAAATAAATTTAAATTCTCCTTTGGACACATTAAGAGTGAGATGCCAATAGTCTTCCCAAGTGGAGCTAGCAGCATGTAGGTAGTTGCTTAGGCTAGCCATCTAAATTTGGGAGTCATTAACATACAAACAACACTTAAAGTCATAATAAGACAAGAAAAGATGACAAAGCAGTCAGAGAAGTAGGAAACTGAGTAGAGGTTAAGGAGACAAATAATGTGTAATAAGGCATAGTCATTAAAATGAAAGAAAAACAGGCCCTCCCTGGTGGCGCAGCGGGTTAAAGCACAGCCCTGAGAA